TGAATTCAAGACAATGTAATAAAAATAAATAAGCAAGGACTAATAGCATACATAGCAAGTGGCACATAGAAACAACACAAAATCTAAGGTTAGTTGTGGCTAGAATATAAAATATAAACTGATTGATCTTATTTAGATATAATCTTGTGATGATCCATTACAAGGCGTCTTAATGAGCATTGCTTATTCACAAGTAAAGGATGTTTTAAGTATGAATCTTTCATAAATATTTTATTTTTATAATTATAATTTTATTTTTATTTAAGTTTCTTTCTATAATGTATCCTTAAATGTATATGTAATGATAACTTTAAAATTCTCAAATAGAAAAAATATTTTATTTTTGGATTTTTTATAAATATATTATACTTTATATTTTTGGAATTAAGAAGTATATAAGGATGACATCTTATTGCAAAGAAATTTTTGATTAATTTAAAGAAAGATTATGGATTACTACTTAAAAACTAAATTGTCTCCAAAGCTAATTTCAGATTTATATTGTTTGAAATTATTTCAAGGTAAATTTAATTATTTGTAGATTAAAATAAAACATTGTAAACTATATTGTATAGAGTATTCTCTAATTTTTTTTAAAATATATAATCTTTATTTTTATTTAAAATGAATAAAATAGAAATATAGAATACACTCTGAAATACACGAGGCCAAAAATATCTTTAACATCATGTTCATACAACACAAGTTATTAAAATATAATTTTATATTAAGTAAATACTTGATTACATATGTGAATAAGTTGTAGGCTTTCTGAAACCAACTTACTTTTGTAAATAAGGCTTTAGAAGAATCAAAGTTGGTAATGGTTTTATTGTTGGATTTGCTAAATTATTTTACTAAATATATTATAATTATAAAATCCATCAATATTAAATGTCCAAAAATAAAAAAAATATTATAAAATATATAAAATCATAATTGAGTATAGAAATAATAAAAGAATTATTTTAATTTTATTTCTAATATATTATTTAATATGAGAAGTTATTTAAAATTACATACATACATACATACATACATACATATATATATATATATATATATATATATTAAAGAAAATATAAAATAAAGAAAAAAAAAAAGCAAGCAGAAAAAAGAAAAACAAAACAAAACAAAACACTAACATTCAAAAACATGAATTTAGAAGATATAAATATGCATTAATTGGAATTAAAGGATGTACCATGAGTGTCACATCTAAATATATTGCAAATTCAAGTACTTCTAAACACATTATACCATTGAAGTAGTTATTTGATAGTGGTGATTATATTCTAATAACAACAGCACTTATAAAAAGACCATAGCATGGCAAGAGTTGTTAGAATGGTTTTTCTTGTTTTGGAAATTATAGCAACACATAAAATTTAAGAAAATTATGTTTAGATATATATATCTATATATTAAAAAGAAGTATCAATAATAAATAAATTTTAAAAAAAATTAATATGAAAAAACTACAAAGCTTCTGAATAAAAACGTAGTAACTATGAGATTTATTAATTTCAAAAAAAAGACACATTAATTTGTATGTAGGTCAATAAAAATTAGATTTAAAAGAAAAACTTGATGTGTGAAAAATATTATTCATTATATTTTAAAATAAACATACTTATATGAAAGAAATATTTTAAAACAAGTTATTAGTTTTTTCCAATCAATTTCAAATTCTTGTAAAAAAAAAAAAAAAAAAAAAAAAAAAAAAACCAAGTAGTATGGTTTAAAGTATTGTACATAAATAATAGAAGTGAATTTGAATGTATATTAGTTCTTTTTTTCTTTAAATAATAAAACTATAGGAATTTAAACCTCAAAACCAAAAGCACATTCATCAAAACAATGATGCCTCTATAATAACTTCTTGGATTTCAAGATATTAAAGAGTAATCTCAACAAAAACATGGCAAGCCTAAAATCTCTTGTAAATCACATCCACATTCATAAAAGCTTCTATACTATTTTTTCATAAAAAACACTATTTCTGTAATATATTTTTATTTATTTTTATTTTCTTTGATTGAATTCTATTCACTTAAATTGTACAATTATCTTTAATATTAATTGTAAATAAAGTGTATGAGAAGCAAAATGTTATTTAAATTTAATATTTTTTTAACACATTGGAATCTATTTATTGAAAAAAAAATATCTATCTTCAAATCATATTAATTAGTTTATATATATATATATATATATATATATATATATTTCATGAAAACTATACAAATAGATTATCTGATATAGGTAAATTTTAATATATCTTTTGAAATAAACACATATATAAAAGTAATAAAAACACAAAAGGTATCTACCAGCTATATATTACAAAAATAATATTAATTATATAGATTTGTTTTGAAGAATTTTTGAAAGATTATTAGAACAACAATGTATAAATATTCCTAAAAAAAAATTAAAAAAGATTTTGTAGACTTTTACAAAGTTAAAGATGGCTTAGCTTTTTATCATGTTTGAAAGTTACATATAAAGTTTAATGATTGATAGAATATTATAGATCTAAAGATTTTGGACTAAAATTTAATATAAATTAATATATTAAAAAAATAAAAATTACTCATGTAAAGATATTTTTGTAAGACTGAAAATACCATATGTTTTCTAAAGATAGAAAAATATAGTTAACCATGCTATTAAGTGCAATTAGATCTTCAACAAGATAATGTTAATGTAAACTTATAATGTGTGTGTGTATATAAATATATTTTTTAGCTTAAATAAATTTAAATAGTAAATTTAGAACATAAAAATACCATAATTTTATTTTTATTTTTAAATATAGATATGAGATTGCTACCATGAGAGCTTTACTAAAATTAGAGAAATATTTTTGAAGAATTTAAAGTAAATGCAAAGAGGATGATAAGAAATGTGTACAAGTCGGAACTTCAAACCAAATTTAAAGGGCGTTTCCAATGTTTTTTTAATATTATTAAAAAAACAAATGACATAAGACAAACAGAATCTGGCCAAATTGCTAACAAATGATTCTTTACAGTTTGTACTTAATTTACAAAGTAGAAGAGAAAAAATAATTAATCATCGAAACTTAGAACTTCATAATAATTCTAAAAATCCAATCCTTATTAATGTGTGTATAAATATAACTAAGAATATATATATATATATATATATAACAATGGAAAAAGAATGAACAGTACAAGACCAGTTGGCGTTCCAAGCAAGATCACTCAGCCTCGCCGCCTTATCAACAGGAAGCCAGGCCAATAGGCGGGAATGGGCACAGGCACGGGCATGGGTCAATGGGGGAGAGACCGATGGCACATCGATGCGTATCATGGCCATGCATCCATTTCCAGTGAGCCAATGAGCGGTCGGCAAGAGATCCACGTCGGACCCTACCCGACTGGATGTGCCATAGAGGCAAGTTGGTGGAGGGTCCCAGAGATCCCACTGGTGGGGCCCTAATGGCGCGGCTAAATCCAAGCCTTCTGGTTCGTGGGGTGTCCTTTCCCCGCGCTTTTCCAGGGGGTTGCCCCCCCGCGCTGCCCGGGGGGGGAGGGTTGATATGCTTTTTTTGGGAAATAAAACCAGACATTATGATATTTTGCAAAAATATCTTAAGCTGTATCGTGCACCAATTCTTTCTCATGTAGATATATATACTGCCTTTGTTGGTAAAGTTGCTGGGCTCTTGAAAAAGGTCTCTATTAATGCATGAATACATATTCACTTGTGTACATACGTATATATGTTTTTTGGATTTAACTTCTTCTTTTTTCCCTTTTTTTTCAATGTGATAGTAGAATAAAATAGTGCATTGTGATAGTTGTTTTCTAGGAATATCCTAATTTGGAGGTTTGTTCTAGTTTTCCAGCTTGGTTCCCAAACTAGGACTGAGAAGGGATATATTAATGTATACACATGGAAGGTGAAACTTGAATGGTTGCTACAATTCAACTATCACATCTGGTAAGAGTGCTATTGTAATGAATCAATTACACAGGGGCTCCATGCATAGATTGAATGATAGCAACAATAACAATGACGCTTCTATTGAAAGCATCTGAATGAGCATACAGGTAGATTGTACTCCAAGAAATTTAAAAAGCTAAAAAATGTTGAATGTAAACAATTTTCTTCATTTTGAAAAACAATGCATAATGATAAAACGATAATTTGTTTATCTTCCATCATTTCAAATATACATATAATAAGTTCATGTGTGAGCATTGCAAAATATTCTTCACACCCCCACTCCAAAACAACATGAATATACACATAATATGATATTAAATATTCCACATTGCAAAATAATGTTCATGGATGTTTCAAACAACTAAAAAGAGACCAATGGTTTTAAAAGGGGTATGTCTCCAGAAGACACATAGTTGATTGGGAAAAGCATAGTTTAGGCAATAAATTTCTAGATAAGAATCCAATGGATGGACTCAACGAGAACATCAACACAACTCAGCAAGCATTTCACGAAGAGCAAATTGCATCAGTGTATGGGGGTGGCGCAGGAGCACAAAGGCCTGTAATCATCGGCGATCAGAATATGGGGAGTGCTCCCAAGGACCAGAAAAGGACAAGCGTGGGAACAAGGGGTGGGAACAAGGGAAAGGGCAAGTCGTGCGAAGTGAGCTTGGGATGGGAGTCCAGTCCAGTCCAGTCCAAGTCTCACGAACCTCAAAGGGCGATGGATGATAATGGAAAATAATTCATCCACGACGCCAGGCTCGGACCTAAACAGGAGCCACGATTGGCCCAATCCGAAAACCATGAGCCAGCTGGGCAAATCAATTGCTCCTCTGGTTGACGCCGCCGAGAATGGGAGATATTTCCTTCAGGGACGGATTTAGGTCCCCTCCTAGGAAAATCTAATCTACTCGCATCTATGGACGCAATGTGAGGTGCCCTATCGAATTCGCGCACTCCAGTGTGCCACGTCATTCCGGTCCCTACAACCGCCTTCTGTCTGCTCTGGGATCCGTTTTTGTGAACTTTGCGGTTGCTCCCCCCTGTCCCCGCAGTGCCGCCATAGCCGAGTCCTCCTGCACCACACCCTGCTTCTCGTGCTTCTGTAGGTTTTCTCGTCGTTGTAGTGTAAGCCCCCCTTTTTCTCGTGCACAGGTTCTTGTCGTGCTTTGCATCGTTGAAACCTGGACCTAATGTCGTGGGAGCGTTCCGAGTGTGTGGGGGTAGTTTTCGCTGTTGACTGGAGGTCCTCTGTTTCCGAATCTTTCTGAGGTTGCTAGAGCGGCATTTGTTGGAGAGAATTTGGGATTGGCTGCCCGGTTTAATGTGTCCTCGTATGTCGGGTAGTGGTTTTAGTGATTAGCTCTGTGGAGTTGTGTGAATACAGTTTGCTCAAGCGGAAAAGACATGCGCGTTCGCTCTCGTCTCTTCCGATTTTTACATGTCCATGCTGTTTGATTAATTATTCGTGAACTGCATTCGTCGATGTCCCTATGATGCGTATCGACGTGGTTTCGTCTTCAAGTTTGCATCTTACACCATACTCCTAGCAAGCTGAAGTGATTCACGCTATTGCACCGTATCGCTTGGACTTAAGTGAGAATCATCACCTTGTACTATTGTTGCATCTGAAATTGTGGATTTAGATGTAGTTTTTCATGTTTTCTTCCTCAGTGCGGCTGTAGCCTGTGTCACTATTGGGGTTTGAGAAAAAAAGAGCTCTCTGTATTCCTCACTACTAAATCTAACAAGTGACTTTTACACTATCCCTCACATAGTCTGAACACCTGATAGTTTCTCAATCTCTTCCATAGAGTTAATTGTGTAGATAGTAACGTACTTAAAATGCCCTGGTGTCGACCAATTATGGAATGAAGTGTTAACATATAGATTCCGCCTGGACTTGAATGGTTTAACAGCTTGTGGCGAGCAAGGAATCATACTACTTCATCACGCGTCTTAGCGAATGTCTTGCGAACTACGACGCAGACCCCCCGGAGTTCCCAGACATAGATTAAGTGTTGGTCAAGGATCTGAAGGATAGCTCCTTCGGAGTTGCAGGCGGAAGCGTGGGTGTGCGGAAGGCAGGTGCGGGAGACGTGGAGTTCGCTTTATGACTGCAGATTTGTGTGAGTTTGAGTCGGAGTCCGATCCGCTGCAGCCGTTATCGGCTGTGGGAAGAGCATGGGTTGAGCCTATTGTGGGGACCCCGGTGGGGGCAGAATGGAGGATCAAGGGTGGCTTCAAGGCGCACAAGGAAGTAGATAGAAGTAGAGAACAAGTAGGTAGCAAACGTGTAGACGATAGGGAAAAGAACAGCGGGAGGCTGGAGAATGGATGCAGGTTTGCAGACCGTACAGGAGGTGCGGTCCTGAAGGCCCGGGAGGATCCGAAGGATATTGCGGAGCAGATTAGGCGGGAGTTAGATCACCAGTTTCCAGTCAATGATGTGCTGAGAACATCGGAGTCGGATGAGGACGGACGGAGGGAGGATAGTGCTGAGGACCACTATGAAGAAGGAGATGCGGTTGCCGCTGTAGTATTTGAAAAGCAGAGGCCACGAGAGATAGCTCAGACGAGAGAGCAGCAGCAAGGGGGTAATGCGGCTGCCGCCGCTGCTGGAACTCAGGGTGGAGGTGGTTGGGAAAGCTTTTTGCTGAAACGGAATTTGAAGGTTCTGCTTGTGGAGGATGACGATGCAACACGGCACGTGGTTGGAGCTCTCCTTCGGAACTGCAACTATGAAGGTCGTTATTCTTCCTAATTCCAACTATCCTTTCTGTCTCCTCCATCTTTGTGCCTTAATGGATTTAGAGTCCCTGAGTGTGTATGGTTGAAATGGTATGTGGGACTCCAATTTCGGTAGCGACCCACTTACTACTTCCTCCTCCGACAGAGAGGATAAAGTCGAGGATAAAGTCTTGGAATTAGAATTCTAAGTAGAAACCCTGCAGGAAGTTTGGTGTGTTGTACCTTTGGGATTCCGAAATTATTGCATGTTATTTTCCGTTCTCCATGTGAGTCTAGACCTGAACTGGAAGGTTTGTGCCTGTCCCAGTCACCCCGGTTGCGAATGGGTCCTTGGCGTGGGGGCTATTGGAAGAAGCGAACAGCAACTTCGACTTGGTGTTGACGGACGTAGTGATGCCATATCTGTCCGGAGTTGGGCTTCTGTCGAAGATGATGAAGCGGGAAGCATGCAAGAGAGTGCCTATTGTCAGTAAGTCTTGACACACGCTGCTTCTACCCCTTTCCCATCCCTGATTGGTGCTCTCTTAGTGCCAACATAGTCATTGCTGTTTATATTCCGTAATATCTTTGTGGTCTCGTCTGCGAGTATGAGTGTATCTGGCGTCTCAGATTCAACTACGACTTTTATATCCATACACAGATCCTGTACCTTTGCATCGATAAACTGAGCTTCGTCTTGGATGCAGTCATGTCATCGTACGACAGTCTTGGCATCGTGTTCCGCTGCCTCTCGAAAGGAGCTTGCGACTATCTCGTGAAACCAGTTAGGAAAAACGAGTTGAAGAATCTGTGGCAGCACGTATGGAGGAAGTGCCACAGTGTAAGTGTTGATTCTAATCGCCTGCCATTTCCTGATTAGTTAGGTTGAATGCTTAACGTGCGACTGATGGGTCTGCCACTCAGTGGTGGATGGTTAGAACCTTGTTTTCTGGTCAAAATTATCTGATTTGAGGGTTTCCATTCTAACCAAAGTTGCGCACTTAGCGTTAGTCACAACGGGATGAGATATGAGTTGAGGAGAGTTGAAGTTGTCTGGATGGTTAACGAGGGTCCGTGGTTTTGAACAGTCGAGTGGGAGCAGAAGTGGAAGCGGAAGCCAGACTGGGGAAGTAGCTAAGCCTCGGAGTCGTGGTGTAGCAGCCGCTGACAATCCTAGTGGAAGCAATGATGGGAATGGCAGCAGTGATGGGAGTGATAATGGGAGCAGCCGGGTAAATGCCCAGGGTGGAAGCGACAATGGTAGTGGCAATCAAGTAAGTAGTCGTGTAATTTTAAGTGTTCCCTGTACCATGTGCGTGCTTCTTTATGCATGGAAAATTTGATGGTCCTTTGGGTGCCGTGGCTCTGTTAAATGTGAGGCTTCAAAACATCTGGAGAATCTCAGATCTGCGCATTGGGTGCAGGCTTGCATGCAACCTGTACAGGTTCTGAGGAACAGCGCAATTCCAGAAGCAGTAGACGGGGATGAGGAGGGGCAGGCGACATCGCAAGATAAGGGTGCTGACTTGGGTAAGTTATCGAGCTGTGATTAAGCACAGCGAGCGGTTGTATGCTGCAAATACGTCAAGATACAGGATGTGGGGATCGCCGTGAGAAGGATGTGCCAACTTGACAATTTCTATCTTTATGTTTTCTCTACATGTGCAAGATGAATCCTCTGTTTGGCTGAACTGTGTCTAGTTGTGGTTGGATTGGGAAATGAATTGAGTAGGAGAATTGCTTGGCTCGGATTCATAAATTAGGTGATAGAACTAAAACTGTGCTTTCTGGTGTGTGGACGTAGTGAACGCCTTGTGCTGAATTAACTTGGCTTGGAAGTGTGCATGATCATGAATCTGAAGGCATGAATGCTCTCCTGATGTTTTGATTGTGTCTAATATGTTAAGGTAATTCGATAAGTAGATTTTTATAGGTTGCAGTAGTTTGGAGGCATTTAATTGCATACACTGCACAATCTTTACACGTATTGTAGAGGATACCTACGGATTTGGAACAAGCTGGGCGCTCGCGTTGAATCTATTTGGTTTGTCCAAATGCAACGCTTGAAGCCGTTAATCAACTTAAGCTAATTCTGTGCGCTGGCCTATCGTACCCTGGTAGATAGAGACGAAAAGTGGGTTTTAGCTGGTAATTGCTAGGCAGTATCTATAGTCGAGTGCACGGAAGACAATGCAGATTGGAAAGATAATGTTATCTTGAGTACATGTGTTCATTTATTGTACTTCAGAATCTTTCGGAAGTTAAGCACTTAGTATTATCGATCTATTCTTGGTTCAGAGTTCTTCGAAACCTTGAACAAAATGCTACCCTTTTTTCTCCTTTTTTCTACCATTTTTTTTTACAGATTTTCTTGTTGGTTGTATTAGTTTTGTTTTTTGTTTTTGGTTTTTGTGGATGTAGAGAAATGCATTCTTCTGATGAGCTGCTACCGCTGTGCACTTTGTATGTGTGAGAAACCACTTTGTAGTATGTCTGCTTATATTTATTGAATCCTGGTGAACCTTCCTCGTTTGCTCTTTTCTGGATTTTGAACATGTACAGTGGAAGGTGGTCATTTATGCTGGAATGCCTGGGAATTAGTAAGTTATGGTTTTTTACGGTCAGCATTTGTGAAATTTTTGATTTGTTAGTCCTGCCTTCGATCAGGTTCATTTCAAGCAAACAGCTGTCGGGGATGATTTTAGATTGCTCACATGTTACATGCCTGGCAGATGGAGAGATGGGGCATGATCTGGAGATGGCAACTCGAAGGTCTGCTTGTGTTACCACCGGAAAAGATCAGCAACCAGAGGATGCCCAGAAGCAAGATGAGGATGCTGTATGTATCTTGCAAGATGCGGGGCCATCACCTGATGGGGCTAATGCCGAGAGCCCATCATCTAGCGGTCGGAATGATGCCGCAGAGGAGTCTTCTCCAAAGATCATTGACCTGATAAACGTCATAGCGTGTCAGCCACAGACCCAGGATGCAGAACCTCAAGAAAGTGAGAACGATGACGAAGAATTGGATCCGCGGGGAAGGAGCAGCCCTAAAAACAACTCCGCTTCAGATTCCGGTACTTCGCTGGAGTTAAGTTTGAAACGGCCACGATCGGCGGTTGGTAACGGCGGAGAATTAGAAGAGCGTCAACCACTGCGACATTCAGGAGGCTCGGCCTTTTCTAGGTGCAGCTCAGACACATGCTACGATTTCAGCGTTGAAAATTTTGATTTGAATGCCGTTAATTTCCTGTTGTATGGAAAGTGTTGTCGTGTTCTCTGCTTCTGCATTATCGTCAGACTTTACGTATTGAGAAGATTAAATTCTTTTTTCTGGCTTCACTCAGTTTACCATCCTTGCTCCTATGTGTTTTGACCAATTCATTCCAGGTATGGCAGCGGAGGAACCATTATACAGCAATACCATCAGACTGGAGGTTCACTCCCTCTCAGTGGTTATCCTGTGTCTGGTGGATATGGTGTATATGGCATGTCCGGCGGTAGCCCTGGAGGATCTCTTCGTCTGGGAATGGGAATGGATCGAAGTGGGTCATCGAAAGGAAGTGTAGAGGGGACTACACCCCCACCCTCGCATCCTCAGAGCATGGAGAAAGTGGGTGGGCAAGATGGGTACGGCAATGCAAGACAGACTACGGAGGATGCAATGATCGTACCTGGAATGCCCATGGCTATTCCTCTCCCACCACCTGGGATGCTTGCATATGATGGCGTTATTGGAACGTATGGTCCGGCGATGCACCCGATGTATTATGCTCACCCTAGCGCGTGGATGGCAGCTCCGTCTCGTCACATGGGAGAGCGGGGAGATGTCTACAATCAATCTCCTGCATTTCAAGAGCAGGATTCTGGGTCTGGGAATCATTCTCAAGCGGGGCAGACTCACCAGCACATGCACCACCACCAAGGCAACCAGCACCACCATCATCATCACCATCACCACCATGGGAGTGGCGCCCAGCCTTCTGGAAATGCAGGGGTGCAAGATGAACAACAGCAATCAGTGGTACCGCCTGGGTCGAGTGCTCCTCGCTGCGGCTCGACCGGTGTGGATGGTCGAAGTGGTAGCAGCAACGGCTACGGGAGCACCGGGAATGGGAATGGGTCCATGAACGGAAGTGCTTCGGGAAGTAATACTGGCGTGAACAACGGTCAGAGTGGATTTGGTGCGACGCCGATGTTAACTGACAACAGTGGGAGTAACGGCGTCGGTGGAACGGATGCAGCCATGGATGGGGTGAGTGGGGGCAATGGGCTGTGCACAGAGCAAATGCGTTTCGCCAGACGAGAGGCTGCCTTGAATAAGTTTAGGCAGAAGAGAAAGGAGCGATGCTTTGAGAAGAAGGTACGGACGGTCGTGCTGTGGCTGTTGACGTTCTCTTCGGTCGTTGGAGTTGGATGTCGATTGTCAGGTGTAGTGTCACGCCTGGATTTGTCCAGACTGCTGTTGGCGTGATTGGATATCGGTGTAATTTGCAGAATGGTCGTATTTCCTCTGTGATTGGACATGATGCGGGGACAGGTACAGAAAATGTGATAACAGTGTAAAGTAGGGGCGGTATTGCATTTTGATTGTGTTTTAACAGCAATATACGTGCTTTGATCAGGTGCGATACCAAAGCAGGAAACGGCTTGCAGAACAAAGACCACGAGTCCGCGGTCAGTTTGTGCGGCAAGCGGTACATGATCCGTCTGCTGGTGACGCCGAATAGGATATGTTTCATTTCATTAGATTTGTTTCTCTTTGTTCTTTCATCCTCTAAGTGGACTCCAATGATGGGAATACTCTACTTGGGTTCCAAATCTTGTTTGCTTACGTTGTTTGATTCTGACTCGTACGCATGAGGCTTCTGCTCCTCCTTTTTAGTACCATGGTTTTCATTCTGAAGATTGAATGGAGGGTTTTTTGAATCCCAGGACATTGCATCACTTGAAAAATAGTAAACTGTTGTAAACGGAATATATCGTTCTTGTATTCTGTGACCTGTCGTACGTGCGCTTGTATCTCGTCGTGGAAAACTGCAACTTGCGAGCTTTAGTGCATGCGTTTGATTTAGTATTAACGAATCAAACATCACATATTAATTAGTCTGTTGTGCTGCTAAGAAATTTTAGGTTTTACTGTAATTTTCAATACTTGTCCCATCATCGTCTACAAACTTTTATAAATCTATTTAACTATGTTGCCCACCAGCTCACCTTATTCATAGCTAGGTCAGAAAAGGTGTTTAACTAGTGTTATGGTAATCTCTATTTATTTATTATTTCCTTAAATAGATTTTGAATTATCTTAACAAATATTATATATGCTTGCTTTTAATCACACCCTTTTGTTAAGATTGGAACGTAGTGGCTAAGAGAGGGGCATACAAGAAAGCTTTAGCTAGAGCGAAGAAAGGACTACAGCAAAGGATTAGAATGGTAATACAAATATATGCTTAAAAATTAGAATGGTAACACAAATATATGCTCAAAAATTGTATTGAACATATAATTTTTTTTAACATTGGCAATCAAAATGGATCCTTGCATTGATTCCAAAGTAGTGTATTGCCAAAGTATTCTTATACTACTAAGATCAATGTTTTCAATTGTTCATTATAGTTATTAAAATATGATTATTAATACCAATCTTAGTTTTGTTCTATTCATAGGGCTATTATATTTAATACACTATTTAAAAATTAACTTAGATTTATAGTATATTATAATTTTTTGATGTATGTTTGTGTAATTAATAGAATATTTAGAAGAAAGTTGGATCTATAAATTGTATAGAGAAGAAGTATTTAAATTTTTCTTTTAACTAGTAGCCAATTAAAGGAATGATTGTCATAGTGTAAATTATAGTTGGAGTCTTAGATCAAGATAATGATTGGTAGGTATACTTTTATTAACTTAAAAATAAGTTAATAAATTTTGTGTATAAAGTAGTGTTTGGATTGACAATATTAAAGTTCCAAAGTAGAAGTAGTCAAACTACAAAAATATAATTCATTCCTTTCAAGTTTGAGATATTTGTTGTACAAAAAAAAAAAATGTTACATACAACACATTGAGTGCTATAAATCAATCACAAAGTATGTAATCTAAACCAAATGCAAATGCACAACCAACACACTCTCAAGAAAAGATTATAAACTTATATACAATCAAGTCAAGTTATCTGTCATATCACAAAGGAGAAATCCATAAGTGCGAATGTGAAGAATAGAGAAAATCCTAAAGCTTTACTAAAATGGCTAAATCACCATAGCCAACTGTGAGCCCAAATTTCACCACTCAATGAAATTGATGCCACACAACAAGTTCAAGACGTGGAATGGAAGAACCCTCAATTGTATAATTGCTAAGTTAATTTAAATCTTGGTGTTTGCAGTTCAATTATTTTTAAGCCCTTCAAGCAATGGTCATCAATATTAATAAAAATATTTAATGAAATTTATTATGGTCTTTCAAGGCTATCTGCATGATTTCCACTTAAGTATCAATGGTTTGTTCAAAATCATTTACATGGTCTTTACTTAACTACTAAATTTTATGTGATTACAAAATTATAATTAATTAGAGTAAATAAATAAATAATTATTTTAAATTTATAAATTATCATTCTTTAAATAACTGATGGTAAAAGTAATTGATCAAATTATTATTATTAATACATAATAAAAATAAAATCTTAATGGTTAAGTTAAAAGTAAAAGTAAAAAGTAAAAGAAGAAGATTAAAGATTAAAAGTTAAAGATTAAAAATTAAAAGCCAAAGTAAAATATGAAAGTTACAAGTTACTAAAAGAATAAAAGTAAAAATGGAACTAAAGAGAGATAAAAGCGAAGATAAAAGCAAAGGTACCTTGATAATGTCCAAGAATTGAGGGCAGCAAACCCCCTTCCATTCCAAAGTTCACAAAAAGTCGTGATTAGCTCCAAAGTGAATGATTTTTATTTAGTTGCAAGGTTAACTTAAAGATGAGCCTACTCCAATGATTTTCAATTCAATCCATTACCTAAACCGCGAGAAATTCTCCTTCAAAGTTGAATGACCAAAACTGCCACGGCATGCAACCTCCTTCCACTTGGAAATTCATCAAAAATTAAATTCGTCTTTAAATTCAGCAAAATTTGTGCCATTAGAAGCTCAGTGTAAAGATGCACTTAATTCCAAAAATTCACAATAATCCAATCGTAAGGCACTGAGAAATATCGTTTTAAAGGTGGTTGATCTAAACTGCTAAGACAGCCGACTTCTTTGCACTCAAAATTTCTTCAAAAATTTGTTTTTACTCCGAACTGAGTGAGCCTTATCTTAATAGAAATTTAACACCAAAAGCTACAACCAAAAAAAAAAAAAAAAAAATCATATTGAAAAAAAAATTGAATGACTAATTGAGAGAAATTTGAGGCTCTTAGAATCCTTGGAATATTTGGAAGCCCAAGGGAGCAATCTACTACAATAAATTATGTTTTAAAATCCAACAACCATCATTCACTACTCAAGATCCATGCACAAACATCCACAAAGTTCACATTGAGATTTAAAATAAAAAATAAAGTTAAAATTAGGATTTAAAGCAAAAATTTTGTATGGCTTCACCCTTCACCAAAAAGAGAGAGAGAGGGCTTGGGAAACCAAGCCATTCTTATACAATTGAGTGGTGGCTTGTAAGAAGGCGGCCACACCTCCACCCTTGATTTCTAAGATCCCTAATGTAGATCTATGGCCTTCATTTATCTAAGAGCTAATTTCGTTACGAAGGCTGATGGCTCTTGTAAGTAGTCAAAAAAGATTTTTTTGATAAATCTAACTTCACCATTGTATTCAAAACACCTTTTTATGCTAAGATCAACTATTTACATGCATCAATCCATGCTCGTTTGCAATTTTTATAAAGGTTTTTACCTACAAGGATTTTAGCAATTCTTGTAAAATTCTTCAAAAATGAGAATTTCATTGCTCTACTTGTATTTTGAAGGAGAGGGTGATAATCTTGTTTTTTTTACTCCACAGGATAAATCTGATGTTGTTATTGCATTTGAATGGCTTTTATTAATTAAAAGTACCACTTTACCACTTAGATTTTTTGAATTTAGAAAAAATCTTCAAAATCGTCATTGTTAAACTTCACTAGATCTTTTAAAAAATTATAATTCTAATTCACTCTAATGAAATGATTGTAGGTAAACTCATAGGTTTTTAGTCAACTCTCATAGTTATGACAAATGACCTCTAAATTATTAAAACTAACTAAATTATTACTCTAATTTTTTGACTCTTATTATTTTGGTCCTAATAAGCTTAACTCAAAGAATTAGGCTATGATTTATACCATCAAAGATTAAAATCCTAAAAATTATATAAAAATAAATTCTATTTATATAAATCATAATTTAATATGTTAAATTATCATAAAATAAGAAAATAAGAAAATTTAAAGTTTTGAGTATAATTGAGAGTTCATACCAACCAAATTCTTATAACAAGTTATTTTTATTTTTATTTTTATTTTTTTTCAAAATCACTCACAAGACTTGATTTGATAAGAATATAAGTTAAAGATTTTTCTACACCTAATTAATGAAATCTTAGTTGATATTAATAAAATAAATTAATAAAAAATATCATTGGATAAAAAATCACTAATCAAATTAAATTATATATATTTAATATGATTTGGTACTTGATGTCATATTATGTAATACTTATTATGTAAATATAGATTGTTATACACAACTTATTAAGTACTATATATCAATTACAAACTATATAATCTAAATCAAATACAAATGCATAACTAACAAATTTTTTAAGTGCATCTATTCTTAACCTCATGTTCTTCCCCCTCCTCTTCTCTAGCTAACAAGCAATCCTTTCAATTAGCTAAGACTACAAAATATATATAGTTGAAGATGAATGTTACAATAATGTTAACAAACTATACTCATCTAATTTAGTGTTATAGCAGCTAAACCACCAAAGTATGTGACAAATTGTAAAGGACACAAACTAAAAGAAGATGCATAAAGTCGAGGAATATATGTCCAAAGGAGAGTGATAAAATAAAAGAAAGTATGTATATTCAAAGAAGAACTGAAATGGCTATTGTCAAAGACTAGAAAATATAAGACTATTGAAACTAGACTAAAAACCAAGAAAGGAGTTGACAAGAGTGAAGAAGGCTTCACTCTTACCTCTATGTATACTACTTAATTAAATAATACGTGGTGACATGCTATATAACCTCTAGTATGCGACCAACTTACAAAATACATGTCTAATTTTTAAAGCAAGTTTCCTAGGTGTGTACCATATGTCCAACTTGTACTACAAGTGGTCAATATGTTGACACATGGCTTCTTTGTTGACCTAGTTTTCAACATATCAATCACATATAGATATTTATAAAAGCAAAGCAGCATCTATGAAGCTTCAGGAAAGCTTTCTATAAGATATTATCATATTTATCTACTTTGATTTACTTCTATCTATTCTTATTATCTAGATAATTATCAGGATAAACATGTATGTCCATGACATTACCTTCCCTTTTAGGAACGAGTTCCATGAAGAGTAGTGATTATATGTAAATAAAGTCGAAGATGCACCAAACTATATTTGTTATGTACTCTAATCTTTGTTTCCTTCAAAGGTAGTTGATAGGTCCCTTCAACCATCAATAATGTTCCATATCAGGGCAAGAAGACCATTCTAATATTTGATCATTATTGAGGCCTTCACAACTTCCTTCAAACAAAATATTAGTAATACCATCAAGAGTGGTTCCTATCTCCAAAAGTATTACTAAACACCAAGAGTTCCTTCCAAAGTCGTGATATCAAATGCATTGTATCTCACCATCTATTCGAGGAAGAATAAGTCGTTCTTGAGGATCTTCATCTCAATTTTGATGTCTCAAAGGTTGTGATAGTCGCAATGTCTCGTCTGGTAGTTCAAAAAATGATAGCTCTTGAATTGAATTTG